CCAGCCTTCTCTCCCCCAACTTCCCATACACGGTATAAATCTTTAACAAAAACAGTCTAGATTTGGTCTGGATTTTCTGATGGGGATGCGTGTCCCTGCCAGGTCTTCAAATCCAAATTCAAGAACTGGGACGACGTCCTGAAGGTGGACTACACCCGCAACGCCGAGGCCGTCCATCAGCCTGGTGGCCTCTCAGGAAAAGTGCAGAAGGATGCTGAGAAGAAGGACCAGCTCAAGGCCGACCTGACTGCCCTGTTTCTTCCACGCCAGCCCCCGATGCCTCTGAGCGAGGTAGGCCCTCCAAGGTGGAGAGATAACTAAGCTAGGCCCACCACTCTGGCGCCCTTGTGTGGAAATAGATAAAGCATTCTCCCAACTAGCGTTTCCCAACCATGGGTGAACTTCAACTCCCAGAATCCACCAGCCGGAAGAGAAATTGGCTGGCTGGGGAATTCTGGGACTTGGAAGTCCACCCATCTTGAACTTGCTGAAGGTTTGAAGAACACTCCTCCAAACATTGGATGATGGGATCATTTATGACCCAGATCTGCTCCTGGCAAAAACAAGAAGCATCTCTTTTGAGACACCTAGAACCTTTCCCCACCCAAAGCATTCCTCCCTTCTTGCCCTTCCTCCGTCTCTCGCTTGAAGGCCACCTCGGTGACTCAAGTCTTTGGGCGGGTGGTTGCTTCCCCTCCTCCCCACAGGCAGAGCAGCTCATGGAAGAATGGAACGAAGATCTGGACGGCATGGAAGGGTTCGTCCTGGAGAACAAGAAATTCACCAGGCTGCCTGAAGAGGAATTTGGCCACTTCTACACCCAGGATTGCTACGTCTTTCTCTGCCGGTAGGTCATCTCGCCAACTTCCCAGGTGCTCCATGACTTTGGTTTCCCGGGGGTGAGTAGGGGGGGGTGTCTTTCCATCCTGCCTTCTCCCTCTGTCCAAATCAGTGCATGGTGTTCCTCAAAGCAGGGAAGTGGGTTGAGAGCAGATGCTTCTTCAGAAATGGTCCTCTCCCATTCCAGTGTAGGAGTCTCTGGGGGACCCTCCTCCCCGATTCCTGGTGGGCTGAAATTCACACTCTGTTCATGGATGTTGACCTTTCTTTGCTGGGACTCAACCTTTAAGAGACGCCCTTCCTGTTGGGTCCCACGTGGGCCCTTTGGACAAGGCCCGGCTAACCCCATCTCTTCCTTGAGATGTTCTCCTAAGTCTCGGAGCTGATCCTGGTGCTGGAAAAGGTTCCTCTTTTCTGCTGCTTCAGAAGAAGGTAACTGAGTAACTTTGGTTTTGTCCCGAGAGATACTGGATCCCTGTGGAGACGGAGGAAGATGAGGAGGAGAAGAAGAAGAAGAAGAGAGAGGAAGGGAGCGCTGAAGGAGAGGAGAAGGACGAGGAGGAGGAGATGGAAGAAGAAGAGAAGCAGCCAGAAGAAGACTTCCAGTGTGTGGTTTATTTCTGGCAGGGCCGTGAGGCCTCCAACATGGGGTGGCTGACCTTCACTTTCAGCCTCCAGAAGAAATTTGAGAACCTTTTCCCAGGCAAGCTGGAGGTGAGCCAGAAGATCATCCCTGGGGCCCGAAGGAGAGTGGGGAACTGGGGGCGCCCATCCTCTCCGCAGTCTTCTGGGCTGGCGTTTCCAAACTTGGCCCCTTTAAGGTTGGCCCCATGAGGGATTCTGGGAGTTGAAGTCCACCCATCTTCAGAGCCAAGTTTGAGAACAACTGCTGTAGGAGCAGAGCTGGAATAAATCACCCTGCCCTCCATATCTCTGCATCGTTGACCAGGATGTTTTGGCCAGAGGAAGGCAGGGGTACTACACACCTGCCCAGGTGTGCTGGACTTCAACTCCCAGAATTCCCCCCACCCCCACCCAGAATGAGAAATGCTCCCTGATTAATCTGGCCTGGAAAGGACCGTTCTTAAAAAAACACACACAAACACATTAAGGCAGAGGTGCCCACTTTAAAATTTGTGGACTTCAACTCCCAGAATTCCCCCCACCCCCACCCAGAATGAGAAATGCTCCCTGATTAATCTGGCCTGGAAAGGACCGTTCTTAAAAAAACACACACAAACACATTAAGGCAGAGGTGCCCACTTTAAAATTTGTGGACTTCAACTCCCAGAATTCTCCAGCCAGCTAAGTACAGCTGAGATTTCTGCAACTCCCCTCCCCAAATCCTCCAGGTTGTGCGCATGACTCAGCAGCAGGAGAACCCCAAGTTCCTCTCCCACTTCAAGAGGAAATTCATCGTCCACAAGGGGAAGAGGAAAGCCAGGGATGACAACCTCCAGCCCAGCCTCTACCACATCCGCACCAACGGCAGCGCGCTCTGTACCCGGTGAGGGGTGCCATTCCCTGTGGGCAGGGTTGGGGGTCTTGGGCCTCTGGCCTCGCTGAGACCATTCAAAGCCTCAGAGGGGGAT